ATTATATATATATATATATATATATATATATATATATATATATATATATATATATATGTGTGTGTGGTATAAAGCTGTTAATATTACAGTGTTATAGCTGCAATACGGTTTAAAAAACACGCATAGCAATAGTGTCTTTCGCTTATCGTAATATTCTTTTTTTTTCTCTATTTATAGATATTACCATTTGTAAATTAACTTCAAAAATGTTAGAAGCTGATGTATTTACATTTTGTAATAATTAATATCGCAGAAAATCACTTTTGTATATTTCTCGTCATTCGTAATTCTTACTGTTTCCGTTGCTCTGTTAGACTGGCAAACCGACAGTCAAACTTATTCTTAAGCGTCATGCTTTTTAGCTATTTCTTAATGATCATAGACTTACGTCACCGTACTCCAAACTCCATTTCTCGTACGCTGCCAAACTCGCGGGTGATACCGATCTACGGATTCGTTTCAGCGAATCACGGAAATCTTGCATTGTGATGTTGCGCACTGAGTTTAGATCCAGTTCCTTTACTTGATCTGGATTGAGCTCTGCGCAATATTAAAGTTTATGAACCACGAAAGGAAATATCGATATACTCTGGCGATACGATCGACTGTCTGGCCAATGCACTAATATCCATTCAGTCTTAGCCACAAGCGGAATAAAAGGAATAGCACGAAACACAGAATCTTCGACTCACCTCTAATAGGACCAAGCGCTGCATCTTTGGCTAAGCCTGTCAAGTCGCTGCCGGAATATCCTTCCGTCAAAATTGCCATGTCATTTAGCTCTTCTGGCGTCAGCGGATCGTTATGTTTAGCTAAAAGTCGTTTCAACAAAATGATTCTCGTCCGCAAATCGGGCAATGTGACGTACACGCGTTTCGTGAATCTTCTTAAGACAGCTTCGTCTAATTCTTGAGGTCTATTCGTAGCAGCCATGACCAGCACTCTTTCTTCCGGATTACACGGTAACCCATCGAATTCAACTAAAAACTCTGTTTTCAACCGCCTGAATACCAATATTAATCATCGATTAAACAACAAACGTCGATTGCCCTGTTCGCTCTTTAATTTCAAGAAAACCATACCTCGAGGCTTCATGTTCGTTATCTTTACGTTCACTTAACAGCGAATCCACTTCGTCGATAAAGATCACAGATGGCTGTAACTCTCGCGCTATAGCGAAAAGAGCTCTCACTAATTTTTCTCCTTCCCCGACATACTTTGACGTAAGACTAGCAGCAGATATTGAAAAGAACGTAGCATTGCACTGAGTAGCCACCGCACGCGCGAGCAACGTCTTCCCGTTACCCGGTGGACCGAACAGCAACAGTCCCCTGGCTGGTGTCCTTAGACCAGTAAACAATTCTGGTCTCAACGAAGGTAAGATTACCATTTCTTGTAACGCTTGTTTTGCAGTCTGCATTATTGGAGCAGAAAAATATAGTAATTTATGTCTATACGTTTTCTAGATGCGATCGGATACGTAAACATATTATGTTCGAACCTCTTGGCCAGCAATATCTTCCCAATGTACTGCTGCCCCTCCCTCTAAAATTTCATCTACGATAACTTGTGCAAGCTTTGGATCCACACCCTTTAAAATAGGTACTTTTCTAGTAGGCGTTCCTCTATTACTATTTGTTGCAGTAGGCGTGCCCGGCCTCCTTATAGGCGAACCATTTCCAGGTACAGACAATTGTCTTTTTACGGAGGGTGGTGTAGACGTTGGCTTAACAGGTGCAACTCGATGGCAAGATTGAACTGGCGGTGATCGACCCATACTTCGAGGCAGCGTCTGACTCTTACTTATAGCTGTACCGACTCTTTTTCCGGGAACAGATAATTTTCTTCCGGACGCTATAACAATATCGTAGAATTAACGACATATAAAAAATGGAAATTACAGAATTAGGTTTCTCGCTATCGATATACGTAAAAGATTCTGAACAAGGCTAATATAGAGAAAAACTATAGCAAAGAATAAGATACAAGACAAACATGTTAAAACATAGAAAACGCTACTGTTAATGTAATCGAAGTTAATGTATAATATTTGAAATGCTTCAGTATAATAATCGATATGTGATAGTGTGAAGACCAAAAATTGTTAACATTTCACAAGTGTATTAGTACTTGTACCGT